TTTTTTTTTCTTCTTCTTTTTTCTTTGTTCCTTCCCCTTTCATTCCCCTCTCCCTTCTCTTCGTCTCTTCATCATCACCCTTTCGGGTAAAAAAAAATCCATATCATTCCCACTTTCCCTCTTCACACGAGAGGCTCGACGATGCGCCCCGCCGTCTCGACGACCCCGGATCCCCTCCTGACTCTGACTCCTCCTCGCTGCAGCCGGCGCCGACCCACTGTCATGTCAACGTACACGAGCCTCCCCGCCTTCTTTCCCGCTACGTAACTTCTCCATCTCCGCTCCTCCAGGTCGTCGACGACGCGCACCCACCACGAGAGAGAGAGAAGGCGACGACGGCAACGGCAGCAGCACGAACCGCCCCATGCCCTTGCCGGCGCCGGCCGATCCTTTCTACCGAGGCCATCCCACCGGCCCGCCTGTACTGCCAGCGGCACATTGATGAAGTCGCCTGCCAGTCCAGCCGCGCACGCTGAGCCGCGCCCTGCTGCTACTGGCGGCGGCGGTGGCTCAGCGGCAGCAGCGCCGGCGATGACGACCTCCTCCTCTCCTTCCTCGCAGCCACGCCCCCACAACGCAGACTCGTCCCAGGCTGTGCTGTCGCCTAACAAGCGGCGCGTGCCGATACCTTCGTCAGACGCCACCAACCAGCAGGGACGTGCTCCCTCCTCGTCCGACGCCGCACATACCCGGCCCCAGGACGATTCCTCCAAGACGACCAAGAGAGCCAGGGGAGAGGATGCGCCCCCAAAGACACTGCCGCTGCGGTACGAGCTCTGCGCTGTCGAAGATGTGGTCGAGCTCATCGCCAACATGCTGGCTGAGCTTATCGCGACGAACGACTACATACGAGTCACCAACGATGGGTTGACGCGATTCCACTCCCGGTACGTTTCCCCCTCCATGCTCTCTCCATATCCTCATCTTCCTCCTCGGTCGAGAGCTGAGGCCGGCACCACGCATATACCTCTCCCCTCCCCTCTCCCCTCTCCCCTGCTGACCGACTCGATAGAACGCCTCCCGGCATATCGGTGCGAGACTACCTCCACCGCCTGGCCAGACACGCCACCCTGACGCCGCCCTTGCTCCTCGCCATGGTCTACTACATCGACCGGCTGTGCCTCATGTACCCGGAATTCACCATCAACACCCTCACCGTCCACCGCTTCCTCATCACCGCCGCCACGGTCGCCGCAAAGGGTCTGTCCGACGCCTTTTGGAACAATGCCACGTACGCTAGGGTTGGTGGCGTACGGTTGGCCGAGCTCAAGCTGCTCGAGCTCGAGTTCCTCCACAGGGTCGACTGGAAGATTGTCCCCGACCCGGATGTGCTGGTCGCCTACTACAATGGCCTGGTCGAGCGCACGCCGGGCTACGTTCTCGAACCGGGCTCGTTATCCGATGGCAGTGCAGCCGACGACGACGATGACGGCGACGACGACGACGACGACGACGACGACGCGGACGAGAGAGAGAGAGACGAGAAAGACTCATAGGCCGGGCGATGCCCCCCTTGCCTATCCGAGCATGATCGGTATCGCTCGAGACCTCTCCGTCCGGCATTTCTTGGGTACCCCTCTCCCATGCCTGGAGAGACGATCATGCCTGGGAATCTTCCATCTTTCAGAGAGAACAGCCAAGGCGAAGCGGGAGTAGACGGGCAGCGCATTCGAGGAGCAGAGATATCTTTAAACAGTATCTGCCGACTGACCACAACACAGAAAAGGGCGAAAGTGATTATACGCATGCAGGAGTATCAAGGCGAATAGGAGTATGTCTTTCTGGGATGCGGTATGGATGCATTGGGTATATATCTATATACATATAGACGCTGGGCGACTTGTCACGCTGGGTCCTTGTTCCGGGGTTTTTTACTATTTTTGTTTATTTATTAATATGATTGTTATCGGTTTTTTCCTCAATCTGGTTCTACTAGAAAGCAAGGCGCCGGATGATCACGATGATGAGTATCAGTACATCATTATCCGTACAGAAGAAGAAGAAGCAGAGATGATGTGCTAGATGCTATCAGTCATGTTTTGTATCTGGTACGGCAACTGCGACATCCAGGGATTAGCCGGCTGACCTCACTTCCGCGCCATCCAGATTTATGTCCCACCTGGCCTTCGCCACCAATAAAGAACAAGGACAGAATACCAGAGGACCGGTCAATAGCAGCGACGGCAAGAAAGCGAGGACGAGGGAAGAACCATGCGCATCACGACATTCATATCGGCCCTGTGCGCCGCGGCACTAGCCCGAGCCGACCCTCGCACAGCGCAAATCTACATCCAACCCCTTTCGTCGTCGACCTCGCCGTCGTCGGACGCGAAGCCCTCCCGCCTCGCCGAGATATCGTACGACCCGCATACGTCGTCGTCGTCGACGGTGGTATCGTACGAGGCGCCCGATCTCCCCTCCTCCTCCGATGATGATGACGGGGAAGATGGCGACGGTACGGTGCTGGTCCGCGTGGGGCTCTACGACACCGAGAGCGCTCGGTGGCTGTCCGGGACGACGGTGGCGTCGGCCGACAACTTCGCCAAGGGCTTCTCGCCCAACATCATCCTCACGGTCAGTGGGGGCGGCGACGTGGTCGGCGTGGCGTGCAAGGGCGTGCGCATCGACGCCGGGCAGACGCGCGACTTCGGTCCCAAGGCCCTGGTCGTGGTGGAGGCGAGAGGAAAGCAGCCGGAGCTGAACAAGCCGGTTGTCATATCGACGAATGGGAAGCAGGTCGAGGAGCAGGAGAAGACGTTCCTCCAGAAGTAAGTGTCTCTCTTCACGCCTCTGAATTCCTTTCTTCTCTCTCTTTTTTTTTCCCCAAAGAAAAAGGAAAATGTTACAAACCTCACTCATCTGCGATCTGATGCTGATATGGGTGCGTGCAGGTACTGGTGGGCTGTTGGCATCGCCTTGTTTGTCCTCGTCAGCGGTGGAGGGGGCGATAGATAGATGAAGGGATTTGAGGATGGAGAGGGGTTTTTCTTTTCTCTCCTTCCTCCCCCCCCCGCCCCAATCTCTCGAGTTGACAGATAAAAAAAGAGTATAGTAGAGAATATGTGCCTGGACAAATAAAACTGTGCTCAGACATGCTCTCTACCTAGGGTCCTAGTAGCAGTCATGATGATGGGATGCTCGCCGTGATACCCGTACTCCAACGTCTACAGATGAGCTTTGCCGAGCTCACCAGAGGATCAACCACATCCTCCCTCTACGCACACGATGAGGAACGACATATGGCAGTTGTCAATGCACATCGTATGTGATGACTGCAGTCTGACGACGCGATATTGCTACAATGCCTACGAGTAATGCACGATATCAATGCAGCTCCCCACGTGACTCTCCATCCCAGCTTTGGTCCTCTCCTCCCACTATTACCACAAACAGACTAGCTCCGTTGCTATGCGAGTACTAAACAAACAGAGCGGCCCCCCCACCAGAGCAGCTGCCAGCAGCTGCTGGGGGGGGACCTTTCTAGGCCTGTCTAGGCCGCAGAGGAAAGGCAGAAGGAAAAAAAAAAGGCGAGGTCAGTCCCGCGCCAGCCCGCAGCAAGGACAAGCCATCTCTCACAGCTCATCCACTGAAGCTCTCTCACCTGTATTTCATCCTCCTTTTTTTTCCTTCTCTTCCCCTTTCCTCTCGACGCAACCGAAAACAAAATAAAAAAAAACCGACACACGCTTCAGACCTCATCCAAGCATACACACACCCAGACAACATTAAACACCTAAAACACCCCCCTCACCATGTCTGGCACTGAAGCTACCCTCCCCAAGGACCCCGCCACCACGGAGGGCGCTGCCGAGGATAAGGGCAAGGGAAAGGCTCCCGCCCAGGACGTTCCTCAGGACGGTGCCATGGACGAGGATGACGACGACGACGATGATGATGATGACGATGATGACGATGAAGACGAAGACGACGTAAGTAGTTCTCCCCGCATGAGCTTTTGATATTCTCTACAATACCCCTCACCCTCATGCCGCCATATATCACGATCGTTAGCTAACTTTTTTTTTTTTTTTTTTTTTCAATTTGGGGGCCGTTTTCGCAAAAAAAAAAACCCGGGGGGGGGGGGGGGGGGGAGGCTTGTTTCTTCTGATAACTTGTTTTTACTGACTTGAATAAAGGCCAGGATGAGGGCATGGAGGAGATTGACCTCAACAACATTGTCGAGGGTGGTCGCCGTACCCGCGGTCAGCAGATCGACTTCGCCAAGGCTGCTGAGCAGAATCCCGCCGACGATGACGATGAGGACGACGACGACGACTTCACGCCCCCTGACGAGGACACCAACATGTCGGGTTAGATGGTTGTACCGGTAACATTGCCCGATGACGACTTGATGGGGGAAACAGGATAGGCGAAGAGAGAAAGAAAGGGGAACAACAAAAACATGGGCGCGCATCCCCTGGGAGATTTGATCTGGTCTTGTATGAGCTTGTCGTAGGAGCTAAAAAGATCATCGGATCTACATGCCCCTCGCGCTCTTACCTCACCCTCACCCCCTTTGCATGGTTTATCTCTCTGTGCACTGGATGGATAGCATCTGGAAGGAAGAGAACAGCTCTGTGCAGAGGACGGTTCGTATACGAGTACACCCCGGCAAGCCATCAGGTGAAATCTCGTCCAGAAGACACATGTTATGGCTGAGTATTTTATGAAGGAATGAGCAGGGGAAGGAGGAAACTGTAAGGAAGATAAAACAGTAAAAGAAGCTATCCTCACTATGGTTGGATTGAGAGTCTTTTTTAAAAAAAAAAATCCCGAGTTAACGTGCTACGGTGAAGTTCCATAATAATGACTTGCATAAGACCATCTACATGAGATACGGTGAGGGCAAGTCATGGACAGTTGCAATGAATCGTATGTCAACAATACCAACCACATACCACGTTGAACCACGTTGATGTGATGCAACTGATACTAAGACGGTAAGAGCAAGCGGACGAGGAGAGAAAGAGAATCAATGAAGAAAGAAAAAGAAACAACCCCCCCCCCCTCCCCCCGAGAGGGCGGTGATGTGAATTTCAACGGAATGATATGTACAGGGTAAGATGCTTTGCCTTTAGGTACCAAAAGGAGGTCTTATATATGGACCAGGACCAGGGAGAAACACCGGAGGGACGGGGACGGGGCGAGCGTAGCAAGGAGAGGTCAGGATATCTCGCGAAGAGGGAGACGGGACAAGAATAAGAGTAGCAGCGGTGCTGAGCATCGACGAACACGTGACGGCACAGGCCCAGCTAAGAGCTATAGATGGACACGAGCTTTTGTCCAAGGGTACGCGTATTGATAGCCTGCACCCCCCGTTGTGCATCCCTCGTTCTGCGGGCAAAGCTCGACGTACTCTGGACTCGACCTTGGAAGAGGCTCTGCCATGACTCATGGGGCACTGCGCATTGTAGGCAAGAAGGCCACAAGTGCTGAGGCGGACAAAGTACTACGATTAAAAAAAAGAGCAAGATTTGAGATTTGAGTATCGTGTACATGTATATACAACTTCATCTACGTGGCTGGGGACGCTTATTATTATTGTCATATTTCCAAGTATCAATATCGTGATAACAGCGAGCTACATCTTGTTAGGTGGCCTCTTAAAACCCCCCCATCACTTCTAGCGCCTGAAAATGGATCCCTAGGCAGCATCACATACTTTTGTAATCTGTACTTTTGTCGTGTCGCGCAACAAGGTTAGTAATTTAACTGCCCCCCCCCCCCCCCGCCCCCAAAAAAAAAAAAAAAATACATACATTACAATTACATATATCATTAACAACAGCCATCCTTACCACCAACAAACAACTGAACATCCCTACATCCAACAAAACGACGACGACGCATCTACATCAACCCTACTATATCGAGCAAGGCCTACAAGTACAACGACAGGGTGCTCTACTCTCCTATTCCTCCAGGAATCCTTCACACATATACGCACATAGCCATGTCGCAACGGTTCGTCCCCCCGATCAAAGCAGAAAAAAGAGAAGAAAAAAAAAGTGAAAAAAAAGGGCAGGAGAAGAGGACTGATGAAGATGTGCATCTTCTTACCTTGCAGATTCGGCGTCTCATCCCTCCACCAGCGCGACGCGCGGAGTCAACTCTTTGCAGGCTACAACCCCGGCCAGCAGTCTGCACGATCGAGCCCGGGAAGCGTAGGCGGATACGGATACGGAGTGGGCGCGAACCCGTACCAGCACCGGCAACAGTCTTCGTCGGCATACGGCGGCGCTCCCATCACCCCCGGGGGAGGAGGAGGAGGAGGAGGAGGAGGAGGAGGCTTCCGATCGGCAACGCCGAATAGGAAGGGGCAGTATAGCGATGCGGTCCTGAATGAGCTGGAGAGTCAGAATGACGATCAGGTCGCTGGGATCCTCGGCAAGGTCCGGGTTCTAAAGGACGTGAGTGCTGAACTTGCTGAAGTTTTATTCTCATTTTCCTATTTTCCATTTTCTTTCAGAATCATTCTTGATTTTTCTTTACCTCCATCTTGCTTCCCCCCCCTCCTCCCTCTCTCTACCTTATCATAGAGAGAGAGAGAGAGAGCGAGAGAGACGAGGCACCTGGGAGGAAAAGAGGGGAAAAGGAAAAAAGGAAAAAAGGAAACAAGAGCTGACAATTTTGAAAAAAAAAACAGATGACATCGGCCATTGGTGACGAAATCCGAGAATCCTCAGCCCTAGCGGAAACGATGAACGAGACATTTGACAGGACCAGGATCCGTCTCCGGGGGACCATGAACCGCATGATGATCATGGCTGAGAGGTCCGGCATACCGTGGAAGGTGTGGCTCGGCTTCTTCACCTTTGTCATCCTGCTATTCGTCTACGTCTGGTTGTTCTAGACCTCTTTTTTTTTTGTTTTTGTTTTTTTGTTTTTTTTGGCATCTATACCACTTCTCTTACCCGAGTCTACCACATCCCTCCCCTCCCCTCTCCACCTTCGTTTTCAGAGACGAGGCCGCGCGAATACAGTAAGATACACAACAACGCATATCGACGACGATCAAGGTTTTTTCTTTATTTCTTTATTTCTTTCTTTTTTTTTGCTTCTTCTTTTCTGTACGATAAGAGTCATGAGAGAGAGGGTATGAGGGAGAGGGAGGTCCTGGTTGGGCGCTGGTACATAACTCTCTATTTTTCTACTTCTTCACATTGCTCTTTCAACGCCGGGGGAAAAGGGGGGAAGCGATTATTGCTTTGTTAATTTCTCTTCGTCTTCTTTATTCTATTGCTCACAATTGTAGCGTCCCTTTTGTAATAGTATGCGTATATGTATATATATAAACTATACACGGCATTTCATAATTCATACAGATATAATTATACTGTCCTCAACTCCGGGTGTGTGATGAGCGAAAAGAAGTCTGTCCGCCCTTGACTTGTGTGTGGAAAAAGAGAAAAAAAGAGTTTTTTAAAAAAAGGGGGAAAAAAAACCGCCAATGCTTATAATACAGGGAAAGAGCATGTAGCACAGACTAGTCAACCATGCCTTGCTCGTCTCGCCTGTACAGGACTACTGTCCATAAAGCTACTCTCATCCTGTGACAAGAAGCCGCTCATGTCCAGACTAGGACGAGGCTGACCACCTCGGCCAAAGTTCAGACCCCCTCCACGAAGGGTGGGAGACTGAGGAGGGCCGAGGGGAGCAACACGTGGTGCGAATCCGACGACGTCGTCGTCGTCATCATCATCATCATCGTCATTGTCCTCTCCGTGGTGGTGGCCGTGTCCGTCGTCACTGCTAGGCATCATGATGCTTTCATCGCCATTCTGCTCATTACCACTAGCAACACTACTGCCACCAGCACTGCCGATAGAACCGAGATGATGATGGAGAAGATGATGATGATGCTGATGACCATCATCGCTATCTCTGTCGCGTCGCATGTCGCTGCTTATGACACTAGCACTCACGCTGCTGCTCCTGCTGCTCCTGCTGCTCCTGCTACTCAGGTCGGCCCCGGAGTCGGTATGCTCGTAGCCGCCCGGCTCGTCGGCCTCGGGTATATCATCGTCCAGGTTGGCATCCATGTCGATGGCGTCGTCGCCGTCCTCTTCACCCATCGGGTAGGCACCGAAATCTTCCTCGTCTAGCATGTGGCCTTGGTCTTGCTCGTGGAGCTCCTCGTCCCCGCCGTACATGTCGTCCCCATCCGGGTCGCCGCGGACGAGGGCTTCGCGAAAGGCGTCGTCTGTCATGCGCATTCTCGCGGCGACGAGATCGTTCTGCCTTCCCTCGCGCATGGCCTCATCATCTTCCTCTTCGCCCCCTCCGCCGCCCTCCTCCTCATCGTCCTCCGAGTCTTGCTCGTCACTGTCGCTCTCGTCACTATCATCCCCGTCATCGTCCTCATCATTGGACATGAAGTAATCGTCTCCGGCCTCGGGTATATCGTCGTCGAGATCCTGCGCCCCGTCGAGCTGCACGTCATCCATCTCCCCATCCTCCCCGTCTGGCCCCTCCCCCCCGGCAGCAGCGGCGGCAGCCTCCGCTTCCGCCTCGGCAAGTTCCTGGGCTAGCTGCTCGCGCCGCATGGCCTCCTGGTGCTCTTCCTGCTCGCGCCTCTCCTCGAGGAGCTGGTGCAGCGTCTTGGGGATGCCCGGGGGTTTGAGCCAGTGGCTGCCAAAGTTGGCGACGCCGTGCTTGCGTCTGGCCATCCAGAACTCGTCCATGGCTAGGCGGTGCAGGGCGGTGCGTTCGAGGGCCTGTCCGCGTCGACGGCCGTGGCCACCGCTGCCACCACCATTGTGACCGCCGCGTTCGCCGTTCTGGTGATGATGGGGGTCGTTGGGGAATGCAGTGTCGTTTGACGGGCTGGCATAGACCGGACTTCGGGATGACGAATACCACAGCGAGTGCGACTGGGGCGTCGGTCAGCTAAGCTTGTAGGGACAGACAAGACGGGGAGGGGAACGGAAACATAAAAAAAGATGTTTGCGTCCGTGAACTAACATCTCGCGGGGTCAAATCTGGTAGTGGGCCAAACATCTGGGCCGGGGTGGTTTGGTTCGGGTGGACTGTAAGCCACACCGAAAGGCCGAAGAAGAAGAAAGAGATAGAGTTGGGAAGTGATGAGAATCGGGTTTGGGCCGAGATGGCGATAGCTTGTTGCTACGCGTCTGGAAGAGAGAGTTTGGCGATGATGCAGAAGGATGATGCGGGCTTCGCGGAGTGGGGCTAGGGACGCGTCGAACCTGCCCAATATGCGCGCGCGTAATCTACCGCGCGCCAAGAGATATGAGATCTCAGGGTCCACACTCAGCAGGTAGAGGAGATGGGAAATATTTGGTTCAAACGAGAAGTGATTTGTACTATGCTGACAAGTAGACTTTTTATTTATTTTTATTATTATTTTTATTATTTTTTTTTTTAAAAAAAAAGGTGGTTTAATGTATTTTTTTTGTATAATTCTTTTTTTTGTAAAATGTTACATGCATTCCGAATTGTAAAACAAACATCATGTAAAACATGGAGTTGGGCTAGTAAACAAGTGAAGCCAAAATGCTGTGTCAGACAGTACGGCGATGGTTACTATCGATATATCATGACTCGTACCATCGAAAAAGCAATGACAGGAGCAAGACTACAATGCCAAGCTTTTGGGGGTTAACATCTCCCCATGGAAGGCATGGGTTTCTATGGGACTAAATATGTCAGTTGATTTTGGAACCGCGGCCCATAAGAGGAGAAGACTTGGCTGCCTCAGGATCAAATTCAATAAAGGCATGCCAGAAAACCCACCGCTTACAGCGGCTCCGAATTTTAATCGTCAGACCAGTTTCGAAGGAGGGGAGGGGCAAGAGAAAGAGCGGCGACACACAAGATAGAGAGGGCAAGGACTAGGGGGGGCAAGCAGGTGAGTTGGACGCGGGGGACATTTGGGACTATGACTCTTCACGCCGAGTAGAGTTTGACGGGGAAATTGCCGCTTGATTATTGGCAACGGGAAGCAGATGTGGTCCACAGAGGGGGAGAGAGGAGAGGTCTCTCCGTATGAGTATGCAGCCGTCCTGAGGATGAGGAAGGAGGAGTGTTTCGGAAGAAGTCGGGTTGCGAGCAGAGAAAAAAAAAAGTTACGGAGGCAACATCAGTGGCGAATGGATTGGTACAGACAGAGGAGGATACCGTCCTCGTACATGTACAGTAATTGTAGGTAGACCGAAGCCGCTCCATTCCTTGGCCTTTCCTTACGACGTTACCATTCGCCCCGCTGCAACCAGGCCTTGTTTCTGTCCATCTTTTTTTGTCACCCTGCCTTCCACACAGTTGAAGAAGAAGAAGAGTTACAGAGCCGATGTCGGGGGAGGCTGGGATCCCTACCGAACCCCCCCCCTCTTTTGGGGGGCATGTTTGAGTTTGTACAACTGCTCTCTCTCCCTCCTCGAAATGAGCCGTGAATAATGTGTGTGTTGCTTTTAAATTCGCCCCCCCCCCTCTCAGAGAAGGCGAGGTTGAAAAATCGTCTCCATAGAAAAGCAAGCCGGGGGTGGGGAGGCCCGGGGGGTGGATAGATTTGTGGTCTCTGAGGAGAAACAGTTACGTACAAAGTATGGAGAGATGGACACTGATTTTGTAATACACATCTAGACATTCGCTGCTTCTTGCCCAGGGATCCAGAATTTAACCTGGAGTACTGTACGATCTGCTTTTAGTACGCAGCAGTATTTGCCTATTCTGTACGGGGAAATAAGCGTGTTGGCTATACAATAGGAATATACACCAAAAAAACCACGATGGCATCAAATACAATGGTAGCACAAACAGTGACGATGACGTCGGATAAGAAGATCGATAGATAGAGATATAACATGATGAACCACGGGATGGTGAAACAAGTAATCAGGGCGGAGAACATGTCACCTGTCGGGCAGAACATGTCCGCATATGCGTACACGGGAGCAACACCGGGCTTTCTTTCTTTTCTTTTTTTTTTTTTTTGTGCCAAGTATTATACAGGAATTACCAGTAATATTGATCATATTGTAGTATCCGTACCGAGCAAGAAGAGAAAAACAGAGCCTCTTCTTCAGACAAACCAACAAAGGTGCGGGGATTATTCTCTGGTTGTCTCGGAGGGGGGGAGTGTCTGGAGAGAAAAATGCCTCTCTCCGTGGCTATCGTTGTCGTAGCTTCTGAAAATCCGGGCTTGCTGGTTGGTCTCAGATAAGGCTACTTTGGTCATTGCTGTGATTGGCCTGTTGGGGTATTTTTATGATGTCGATGATTTGACATTCGCATATTATGGTTTACCTACGGATGCGGAGTACGGATACAGGCTATGGATTGCTACCTGCTACTCGTACTTCACCACCTCTCGTAGCCTCGGGAGCGTTCATTGACATGGGAGCCGTCGTAGTGTCTATCGGTATGGGCATCATCAAGTCCGTCGTGGTCGTGGGTAACGCCGTCAATCCGTCGGCCCTACGGAATAAGAGCGTCTGCATCCTTCGTCACGACAACTAGCGTTGCCAGCCAGCGTCTCAGCATCGATCGCCTACCAGTATAATTTATTATTACTCTCTCTACGGGCTACGGACCCGAGACCAATCCGTACAGACTGCAGATCTAATACTAGCCAAGTTCAATGTGCTCGTAATACGCTCGTAATGACCGTCAGCTGGTGCGCATGTTGTCACGACGGTTCCATTGGCCCGCTCGCACCTTCCTGGTCGTTCTCTCTGGCGCACCATCCCTCCATGGTTTTGGTTTGTTCTCTCCCAGTCTCTATGATGACATTGATGATTCAGTGGTCTCTGTAGTCTCAGATGGCACTGTGAACGAAAGACGGACAGCCATGGATGCATCCTTCTCTTCTCTCCTCCTCTCTTATCAAAAGGTCAGAGACAGGGGGAGAAAAAAATCACCCGTATCACCGGGAGGCTGACATGCTCGAATTGGCCCCATCGGCTGCGTCAGGACTCAACCAACCAGGCAACATCCAACCTGGATGCAGGACGTATGTGTAGAGTAAAACTAATGAGTCTGGTGCCGTTTCCCATGTGCTATTGACGTTGCCCGCCGCCGGGCCTCCCCCAGTTGAAGTTGCAGGGGGGGGGGGGGTGTGGGAGTGTATGCATCGTCAGTGCACAGGGCCCTTGCGCTGCTGCTTGATGCTGCTGGCCTGCATGTGGGGACGGATGCTGTTGAACCTTGGTAGGCTTAGCCCGTGCGAATGCTGCCTTTTCGGATTTGGCCCTTGTCCTGAACCCGTCTTCGGATTAAGGCAAGATGTCTGTCTGTGTCTGGTAGAAATACCGAGACTCGCCGGTCGAGTAGATGGGTCAACCCCGAGATTTGTACGAGGGGTTTCTGGTGTCTTGAGGTAAGGCCATTGTGGTTCGGGGGGGGGTAGGGTATTACCGTGGGATATACACAGTAGTACTCCCATCACCTCTACGGAGTACCTGTGATAGTACTTGGCTCACACGCACATCATGGTAAGTCAGGAATAAAACACAAAGACAAGAGGTTTTGTGTCGCGTTGATTTACACTTACCTATGTGTTATATCCTTTCCCTTCTTTTTCGTATTAGTCCAGTTGTGGCCATCATGTTCACCATCACCCTTGCGACCGATGCCAAAGCATATTCCTACACTCGCCGAATAAGGTCAAGGGCAGAGGAGGTAAAGAGCGATGTGTGTTTGGAACGGCATCCACCCGTTATACTTCTAAATGAGCCTTCTTCTTCTTCTTCACCGTGCCGTGCACTGAGTCCCCTCTCCGTTCATCGGCATCGGCCAGCCACACACACACACACACACACACACACACAAGCACATCGCACATGGGATGACAGGGCACACAATTCATAGAGAAAAAGAACAATGCAACAACGTACAGCCGGGTTGATTGGCATCAACAACGTAAAATGAACCTACGCATTGCACCCCTCAACCTCTTTTCTTTTTCTACCGGCCCTCTTCTGGGAGCGGTTCATTTTGGCGCGCAGAGACACTCGTGAGCGGAAAGTGAGACTGAGACTGAGCATAAATACTCATGCCACTACCGAGTTGGCACTTTACTCTGCAACGATGCAGGAGTATATAATGTAGAAATGAATCCAAGCTCTCTCTCTCTCTCTCTCCATCCCGGACTGTAACGCACCCCTCCTACTCTCTCGTCTTTCCCCACTTCCTCGCCTCTCTTTCTATCCAATCCCTCCTCCCTCGGCCGCCTCCGTTGTCGAGTCAGACTCTGCCGCCCTGTATTGTGATTCGGCTCTGCATTACAGCAACCCCCCGGTCGGTCCCTCTCTCACTTTTCTCTGCCCGCCTCTTCGCCTATTATTACGTCGTACTGCCTTCGGTCTTGGCACATGCGCGCAGACACGCACGCTCCGTAGCCCTTTCTGCCCCCCGGAATACCGGTTCAAGGCTTTTATTTCTTCCCCGTTGTAAAATTACTTTTTGAGAACGCAAGGTATTCATCTCCTTCTTCCCGCAGGTCAAGCGAGACCGCTCGGCGACACTCGCCCAAATTTCAGTAGGATAGATGAGAATACATGTAGATACTCCAATCCTCGTCACGGAGATAGGCAGCAACACCGGTTGTAGTCGTAATAACACACACTCTCCGCCATCGGTACTAACTCATAGTGGTTGATCCGCTGCTATCCAAGCCACCACCATCAGAGAGGACCAACCCACTTTCCGTCCATCCAACCGTCCCTCTATCACCCGCCCCCCCGCCCTCCATTCTAGAATAAAAAGCAGAGCCCTCTTCCGCTTCCCCTCCTCCCCTCTCGGAGCTCCGTTTTCTGCCTTCTACCTCTTCTTACCTCTGATATTCTCTCTCCATTGTCCATCAACTTGACAACGAGAACACCCCTGTCCTTTTTTCCAATACAGGATCACTACCTGCGAGGACCACGCCAGCAGGTGAGTCCAGTCTGATCTCTTTTCTTTTCTTCTTTGGAGGAAATACAACAGCACACAAACACACGCACACACACACTCGAGAGGGATTCGGTTGAGAGAGAGAGAGAGAGAGAGAGAGAGAGAGAACACGGCAAAGCCACGAGGAGCCAACCTTTGATTTCTTCCGGGGCATGGCTTCTTCTGCCTCCGGCCAGTCCATCACCGCCATGACGAGGCTGAACAAAAGAAAACGATACCACGGGCTGGATTAACCCTGACCAAACGTTGGGTGGCCATTGTTCTGTGTAGCTACGCGCAGTCGCACGACAACTTCAACCCGAGGTATCAATGAGCCTCGTCGGATCACTCCCCCATCCCCAGAGAAGAAGACGAGCCACGCTTGCCCGTAGTGGACTACAATCACACTCTGGATCATGGGGGGAGGGGAGGGGCCCAATTCTTGTCTCTGCCTGACCCAAGACGGCGTCGCCTCAGTTGACAAGTTGCTGCCCGCCATGCGCCCTTTGCCTAGTGGTGGGAATCCTGATGCCTCATGGTGGTGGTGGTGGAGGGCGCGTCGCATCGCCGCATAATACAACACAATCGGCTGCGCAGCAGAGAACAACAGTTGGATGGCATGGCACATGAAATCATCCGTGTGGGAAATGAATGTATAGCGACAACGGAAGAAAAAGTGTCTCCTTTATTTTGTCGCCATAATCTTGGCGTTGCTACTACCCGTACAGCGGCGTCAGAGGAGGAGGGGCAAACGAGAGAGAAAAAAAAGAGGGTAACCGTGGGGCAGCGAATCCGGAGCCAGGCATTTGTGAGAAAAAAGAAGGAGCTATGCAGAAGATGTTCCACTCCCCCACTTTCCACATCTAAGGCCTCTAAGCACACGCCCCCACCCCAACCAGATGGACCATCAGCCTGGGACATACCCCCCCCCCCCTCTCTCTCTACCTGTTCAGAAGTGAGATTTGGGGGAGGGGGACTCATGACAAAGACGTTCTCGACTCTCTCTCTTCTCCGCCTTCTCTCTTACCATCCTTCTGTCGTCATTCATTCCGACTTTAGACGGAGCTGTTTATTCAATTTCCTACCGGAACCTTTCTTTTGAAGCTAACAATTCTGATATCAAAACAGACCAGCGTTGGAGCGGCTTTCGCTGCTCTCGCCGGACAACTTCCCCTCTCCTTCTCTCGATTGACTGATTCGGTAACGACGATTCTCAGCTTAAGAACAACACACACGCAAAACAAAACAAAAAATAGCCTTACCGGCCCCTGGAAAATTCTGGTTGTAAAATAAGAGTCCTTGCCTAGCATGGGCCTGACAGCGGATTTCGATGACCGTCATATTGAACGCGAAGCCGAGAAAGATCAGTACAAGCCATTTGAGTATCAGACTCAGGACAATGGCTCGTGGGCTGGTGCTCTGCCCGTGAAGCAAGGTCTGTACGACCCTTCGTTGGAGAAGGATGCCTGTGGTGTCGGCTTTGCTTGGTGAGTTGCATTGCGAACAAGTTGTCGGTTGTGATGTTCAAAACAAGAGGGTAGGATGCTGACTCGTCTTCGCCCATCATCAACAGCCATATGAAGGGCAAACCTAGCCACAAAATTGTCAGCGATGCACGCAACCTGCTGTGCAACATGACGCATCGCGGTGCCGTGGGATCCGATGCACGAGACGGCGATGGCGCCGGCGTCATGACTTCGATCCCCCACCGCTTCTTCATCAAGAACTTTGAAAAGGAGGTGGACATCAAGCTCCCTCCCGCCGGCCAGTATGCCGTGGGTAACCTCTTCTTCAAGCCCGACGAGGAGACGTTTGCCGAGTCCAAGAAGCAGCTGGAAGATGTTGCCGAGTCCTTGGGCCTGCGCGTCCTGGGATGGAGGCGGCCCCCTGTCGACTCCACCCTCCTCGGTCCTGCCGCCAAGTCGCGCGAGCCCATCATCGCCCAGCCCTTTGTCGTCCTGGCCGAGGCTTACGGCACCGGCCTGACGCCCGACGAGACGGATCCTGACAAGTTTGACGAGCGCTACTTTGAGCGTCAGCTCTTCATCCTGCGTAAGCGTGCCACCCACACCATTGGGCTGTCCAACTGGTTCTACATCTGCTCCCTCTCCTCCAAGAACATTGTCTACAAGGGCCAGCTGGCCCCCGTCCAGGTCTACTCGTACTTTCACGACCTCGTCAACGCCGACTACGAGGCCCACTTTGCCCTCGTCCACTCTCGCTTCTCCACAAACACCTTCCCTTCGTGGGACCGTGCCCAGCCTCTGCGCTGGGCCGCCCACAACGGCGAGATCAACACGCTGCGTGGGAACAAGAACTGGATGCGCGCCCGCGAGGGTGTCATGCACTCCGACGTTTTCAAGGACGAGCTCGAGATGCTCTACCCCGTCGTCGAGGACGGCGGCTCCGACTCGGCCGCCTTCGACAACGTGCTCGAGCTGCTGACCATCAACGGCGTACTCTCCCTGCCCGAGGCCGTCATGCTCATGGTCCCCGAGGCCTGGCAAGGCAACGAGAACATGGACCCCAAGAAGGCTGCGTTCTACGAGTGGGCTGCCTGCCAGATGGAACCTTGGGATGGCCCCGCCCTCTTCACCTTCGCCGACGGCCGCTTCTGCGGTGCCAACCTGGACCGCAACGGCCTCCGCCCCTGCCGCTTCTACGTCATGGACGACGACCGCATCATCTGTGCTTCCGAGGTCGGCACCATCCCCGTCGAGCCCGAGAGCGTCATCCAGAAGGGCCGCCTGCAGCCCGGCCGCATGCTGCTCGTCGACACCCAGGCCGGCCGCCTGATTGACGACAAGGAGCTCAAGGAGGCCGTCTGCAGCCGCCAGGATTTCCGCACCTGGCTGGACCGCGAGCTCATCACCCTGCCTAAGGTCCTCGACACCATGTCGTCGCGCATGGGCGCCGAGATCCAGGCCGAGCCCGACGCCACCCTGCTACAGAAGGACCCCCTCCTGCTGGCCTTTGGCTACTCGTACGAGCAGGTCAGCCTGCTGCTCGCTCCCATGGCTGCCGACGAGAAGGAGGCGCTCGGCTCCATGGGAAACGATGGACCCCTGGCCTGCCTGGCGGACGCGCCCCGTCTGCTCTACGACTATTTCCGCGAGCTCTTCGCCCAGGTCACCAACCCCCCCATCGACCCCATCCGCGAGTCCATCGTCATGGCCCTCGACTGCTACGTCGGACCCCAGGGCAACCTGCTCGAGATGGATGCCTCGCAGTGCGGCCGTCTCCTGCTGCCCAGCCCCATCCTGTCCATCCCCGAGTTCAACAGCGTCAAGAATATGTCGGCTATCCACCCCGAATGGACCGTCAAGACCATCGACCTGACCTTCCCCAAGAAGTTGGGCGTCGAGGGCTACATGCAGCACCTCGATCACATCTGCCGCGAGGCAGACGCCGCCATCGAGGCCCGCGATCGCATCATCGTCCTCTCGGACCGCAGCACCTCGGCGGACCGCGTCGCCGTCTCTGCCATCCTGGCCTCGGGCATGGTTCACCACCACCTCGTCGCCAACAAGTGGCGCTCCATGGCCGCCCTCGTCGTCGAGACGGCCGAGGCCCGTGAGGTGCACCACATGTGCGTGCTCCTCGGGTACGGCGCCGACGCCATCAACCCCTACCTCGCCATGGAGTGTATCCTCAAGCTCAACCGTGAGGGTCTCATCAAGAAGAAGCTCGACGACGACGCCCTGATCCGCAACTATAAGCACTCGTGCGACGGCGGCATCCTCAAGGTCATGAGCAAGATGGGCATCTCCACCCTGGCCTCGTACAAGGGCGCGCAGATCTTCGAGGCCCTCGGTCTCGACGACAGCGTCGTCGACCGCTGCTTCCGCGGCACCGCCTCCCGCATCAGGGGTATGACGTTTGAGCTCATCGCCCAGGATGCCTTCCGCTTCCACGAGCGCGGCTTCCCCAGCCGCGAGACGGTGCGCATCGAGGCCCTCCCCGAGTCGGGCGAGTACCACTGGCGCGACGGCGGCGAGGCCCACGTCAACGACCCGCGGTCTATCGCCAACATCCAGGACGCCGTGCGGACCAAGAACGACAAGTCGTACGAGGCCTACTCCCGGTCCGAGTATGAGCAGATCAAGAACTGCACGCTTCGCGGCCTGCTCGACTTCAAGTTTGAGGACCGCGAGCCCATCCCCATCGACCAGGTGGAGCCGTGGACGGAGATTGTGCGGCGCTTCTGCACGGGCGCCATGTCGTACGGGTCCATCTCGATGGAGTCGCACTCGACCCTGGCCGTGGCCATGAACCGCCTGGGCGGAAAGTCCAACACGGGCGAGGGCGGCGAGGACCCGGAGCGGTCGGAGCGCATGTCAAACGGCGACACGATGCGCTCCGCCATCAAGCAGGTGGCCTCGGGCCGCTTCGGCGTCACGGCTGCCTACCTGGCCGACTCGGACGAGCTGCAGATCAAGATGGCCCAGGGCGCCAAGCCCGGCGAGGGCGGCGAGCTCCCCGGCCACAAGGTCTCCCGGTCCATCGCCCGCACCCGCCACTCCACGCCGGGCGTGGGTCTCATCTCTCCGCCCCCCCACCACGACATCTACTCCATCGAGGACCTCAAGCAGCTCATCTACGACCTCAAGTGCTCCAGCCCCCGCTCCCGCGTCTCCGTCAAGCTCGTCTCCGAGGTCGGCGTCGGGATCGTCGCCTCGGGCGTTGCCAAGGCCAAGGCCGACCACATCCTCGTCTCGGGCCACGACGGCGGCACCGGCGCCTCCCGATGGACGGGCATCAAGTACGCTGGCCTGCCTTGGGAGCTGGGCCTGGCCGAGACCCACCAGACGCTCGTGCTCAACGACCTGCGCGGCCGCGTCGTCGTCCAGACCGACGGTCAGCTCAAGACGGGTAGGGATGTCGCCCTCGCCTGCCTGCTCGGTGCTGAGGAATGGGGCTTCGCTACAGCTCCGCTCATTGCCATGGGCTGCATCATGATGCGAAAGTGTCACTTGGTAAGCCGAATTCCCCCCTCCCCCCTCCTCTCTCTCCATATTGATCGGAAAGGCGTTTCCTAACATGTGTTGTGCGTTGCAGAATACGTGCCCTGTCGGTATCGCTACGCAGGATCCAGAGCTGCGCAAGAAGTTTGAAGGTACCCCGGAGCACGTCATCAACTTCTTCTACTACGTGGCTAACGAGCTCCGCGCCATCATGGCCCGCCTCGGCTTCCGTACCATCAACGAGATGGTGGGCCACGTCGAGGTGCTCAAGGTCCGAGACGACCTGCGCACTCCCAAGACGCAGAACATTGACCTGTCCCTGCTCCTGACGCCCGCCCACAAGCTGCGCCCCGGAGTGGCCACCTTCAACGTCCGCAAGCAGGACCACAAGCTCTACGTCCGCCTGGATAACAAGCTGATCTCGGAGTCGGAGCTGACCCTGGACAAGGGTCTGCCCTCGCGCATCGAGTGTGACATTGTCAATACGGACCGTGCCATGGGCACTTCGCTCTCCTACCAGATCGCGAAGCGCTACGGCGAGGCCGGGCTACCGCTCGACACGGTCCACGTCAACATAAAGGGTTCGGCCGGACAGTCGTTCGGCGCCTTCCTGTCCTCGGGCGTCACCCTAGAGCTCGAGGGTGACGCCAACGACTACGTCGGCAAGGGTCTCTCGGGCGGCCGCCTCATAGTCTACCCCCCGCGCTCGGCCATCTTCAAGGCCGAGGAGAACGTCATCGTCGGCAACGTCTGCCTGTACGGTGCCACGGCGGGTACGTGCTTCTTCCGCGGCATGGCAGCCGAGCGCTTCGCCGTCCGCAACTCGGGCGCCACGGCCGTCGTCGAGGGCGTCGGAGACCACGGCTGCGAGTACATGACGGGCGGTCGCGTCGTCATCCTCGGCAACACGGGCCGCAACTTTGCCGCGGGGATGTCGGGCGGTATCGCCTACATCCTCGACGTCAGGGCCGACTTCCTCTCCAAGCTCAACACCGAGATGGTCGAGGCGGGCCCGCTCGAGGACCCGGCCGAGATTGCGTTTGTGCGCAGCCTCGTCGAGGACCACCATCACTACACGGGCTCGGAGCTCGCGGCCCGCATCCTGGTCGACTTCACCCGCGCCCTGCCCCGCTTCGTCAAAGTCCTCCCGGTCGATTACAAGCGCGTGATGGAGGAAGAGGCCGCCAAGGCGGCCGAGGCCAAGCGCGCCCAGTACAACCTGCCCCTCATCTCGGGCGTCACCCACAGGCGGGAGGAGAAGAAGCCGGCGGCCAAGCTCCAGGACCTCGAGGAGGCCGTCGGCGACAGTGCGGCCGAGAAGAAGCGTGCGCTCGTCCTGGACAAGACGCGCGGCTTCAAGATGTATGCGCGCCGCTCCGAGAAGTACCGGCAGGCATCTACGCGCACCAAGGACTGGGCCGAGCTCAGCTCGCGCCTCAACGAGGACGAGCTCAAGTACCAGTCGGCGCGCTGCATGGACTGCGGCGTCCCCTTCTGCCAGTCGGAGACGGGCTGCCCCATCTCCAACATCATCCCCAAGTGGAACGAGCTGGTGTTCCAGAACCAGTGGAAGGACGCGCTCGACCGGCTGCTGATGACGAACAACTTCCCCGAGTTCACGGGGCGCGTCTGCCCGGCTCCCTGCGAGGGCGCGTGCGTGCTGGGCATCAACGAGGACCCGGTGGGCATCAAGTCGATCGAGTGCGCCATCATCGACCGCGGCTTCGAGATGGGCTGGATGGTGCCCAAGCCGCCCAAGGTGCGCACGGGCAAGAGGGTGGCCGTCATCGGGTCGGGCCCGGCGGGCCTGGCGTGCGCGGACCAGCTCAACCGGGCGGGTCACAGCGTCACGGTGTACGAGCGCGCGGACCGGCCGGGCGGGCTGCTCATGTACGGCATCCCCAACATGAAGCTGGACAAGCGCATCGTCAAGCGGCGCACGGACTTTATGGCGTCCGAGGGCGTCGAGTTCCGGACGGGTGTGGCCGTCGGCGGGGAGGGGCAGCCGACGCTGTCGTCGCTGCGGGCGTCGAACGACGCCGTCGTCATCGCGACGGGCTCGACGGTGGCGCGCGACCTGCCGATCAAGGGCCGCGACCTGGAGGGCATCCACTTCGCCATGGAGTTCCTGCACCGCAACACAAAGTCGCTGCTGGACTCTGAGCTGGCGGACGGGTCGTACATCTCGGCCAAGGACAAGGACGTGGTGGTCATCGGCGGCGGCGACACGGGCAACGACTGCATCGGCACGTCTGTGCGCCACGGCGCCAGGTCGGTGACGAACTTTGAGCTCCTGCCCCAGCCGCCGGCCGAGCGCGCCAGCGACAACCCCTGGCCGCAGTGGCCGCGCGTGTACCGCGTCGACTACGGGCACACGGAGGTGCGGCAGCACACGGGCAAGGACCCGCGCGAGTACTGCATCATGTCGGAGGAGTTTGTCGACGACGGCACCGGAAAGGTCAAGGGCATCAGCACGATCCGCGTCGAGTGGACGCGGTCCTCGTCGGGAGGGTGGGACATGAAGAAGGTTGACGGGTCGCAGGAGTTCTTCCCGGCTGACCTGGTCTTTCTGTCCATGGGCTTCCTGGGACCGGAGAGTCGCGTGCTGGGTGATGAGATCGAGAAGGATGCTCGCAAGAATATCAAGACGGCGCCTGGCAAGTACGCCACCAATCTTGACGGCGTGTTTGCGGCTGGCGACGCTCGTCGTGGGCAGTCCCTGATCGTCTGGTACGTCTTCTCCCTCGTCACCTCCCCTCCATCTCTTCCATCCTCCGCTTCCGCATGCTGACAACCTCCCAGGGGCATCAACGAAGGCCGCATGGCTGCTCGTGAGGTCGACTTCTTCCTAGAGAGCAACAGCAGTCTACCTGTCACGGGTGGTATCATCAAGCAATCCGCTCAAGAAGTTCTGCACAATATCGCTGTGCAGGCATGAAGGGGTTGGGTTGGATGAAGTGTGTAAATATATATATATATATATATATATACGTGTGTGTGTGTATTCTCGAAAGAATGGATAAAGTATGGAGGAGAGGGAGAGATGAAGGAGAGAAGGATGAGGAGGAGAGAAGGGAGAGTGGAAAGAGTTGAGAGGAGAGAAATGTTGGAGGGTTTGGAGCTACTTGTATAATTGTTGATCTTTACAAAAAAAAAAAAGAAACCTCGCGAGGAAATATGGGAAGAATGGGTCTTTTTTTGTTGGTGATACCATAGAGGGAGTTATTAGTATTGTACCTGGTCGGATTCATGTACGGCAATGCTCGTTTCCGTCGATGTCTGGGATGTCTGGGATGTCCGCGATGAAGAAGATTGGTGAATAGGTGAAGTCAATGGGGAGTTGGATGGACGGGGATCCAAGGTGAGATAATTTTACTCGTATGTTGCGAGTAAGATCCGTAGAGATTAATCTGCACTTTGGCCTGGTAATGATGTGCGGGTAAAGCCAAAGTACGAGTGATGGTCATAGTCATACGTGGGAGTAAGATGTCAAGCATCGATACTTCATGATGATCATGTATACAGAGATTGATCTGGAGACGGCATTATATGTAATTGTTGGTTTCGTCCTTCTTCCTTTAGCGTCACCTTACGATATCACAGGTGCATCAGCTCCTTCTTTCAAGAAGAGCCTTTGCGTTTGTGATGATCGATAGTTGTATTGTTCTAGGATGACTCTCTTCGTGATAGTTATATGCTTGCCAAGTCATCCTGAGGCAACAACCTCGGTACCGGGTTATCCCTTCTTCCGGTTGTATTTGGCTATTCTGATACAAACAGTAGTGGGTGCTCGTACAGATTACATGTGCAGATTTACATGTAATACGTGCATGTGCGCATCCAGCAGCACTCCGATGACGCACGTGCGACATGAAGCATCGTGATAGGACTCTCTTCTCTCATCTCTCTATCACTCGTACATGTACATTGTCATCTGTACTCGTATATAGCAGTGATGATACCTGTCTGTAATCTGCACGAGTGAATGGATGATCTACTCGGTAGAGACTCTCTCTTGTATTACATCAACCGTACGAAGACGAGGGCGTATCAAGCTTTCCAAAGTGGGGCGACATCTGGTCGCTGGGGGACGTGAACGGAGCCTGTGACAGGAAACGTTGGTTAAGGTCTTTTTTTTCTCTCTCTCTTTTTCTTCTCCTTCTCTTGGCCTCTCTTCCTCTTCTCTCAACCATAGTTTCTTCTTCTCTTATCTTTCCGTTGCCTGCCCATCTCTTCCTGTCTCTGATCACTATCCTGACGAGACAAGAACTCTTCTTTTTTTTTTTTTAAAAAAAAAATATGCGCTTCGGTCAGACCCTCCGGGTGGCCGTGTACCCCCCCTTCAAGGACCACTACATCGACTACGCCAAGCTCAAGAGTCTCCTCCGCGAGGGACAGCAGCCCGACGACGCCGCCGACGAATGGACGGACGAGGACGAGCAGAGGTTCTGCGACGAGATATTCAACGTTCAGCTGGAGAAGGTGGCCAGGTTTCAGCAGCAGCAGTTCGACTCCCTCAAGAGCCGTGTCGAGTCTGCCTTTGACAAGCTCAAGGATCTGGCGCCGCCTGATACCGCGACCGCTCATGACGACCACGACAAGGGAAAGAGAGTCGATGATGGAAATGCCGCAGCAGCAGCAGCAGCAGCAGCAGCAGAGCAGGGGGGAGGACAGAGTCAGGGTCAGACCCAGACCCAGACCCAGACCGAGGACGTGTCCCCCGAGAGACTGAGCCAGCTCGAGAGAGAACTCGACTCCATCACGCAGGATATCAAGGAGCTCAAGAAATACAGCAGCGTCAACTACACCGGCTTCCTCAAGATTGTCAAGAAGCACGACCGCAAGAGGGGCGACAGGTACCGCGTCCGACCGATGATGCAGCTCAGCCTGTCGCAGAGGCCCTTCAACTCGGAGAAGGGATACGCCCCGCTCCTCAGCAAGCTGTCCATCATGTACTTCGCCATCCGTCAGCACCTCGAGGGCGGTGCCGACGGGCAGCTGCCAGACCTCGAGACCGGGGGGGAGACCCGCAACGGGGAGAGGTACACGGCTCACAGGTGTAAGTCCCCTACCCCTCCACCCTCCTCTGCGGGAGAATGCGACGAGAGGAGAGAGAAGGGGAGAAGCTAATCGATAAAAAAAATAAAAAATAAAACCCTTCCAAAACACAGTCTGGGTCCATCCCGACAACCTCCTCGAAGTCAAGACGCTCATCCTCCGTCACCTGCCCACGCTCGTCTACAGCGACAGCACGGCCAAGGAGGCCGACGGCAACGACGCGCCGGCCGTCACGTCCATCTACCTGGACAGCAAGAGCTTCGGCCTGTACGGCCAGCAGGTGAGCCGGCAGCCGGAGGCGTCGTCGTCGATCCGGCTGCGCTGGTACGGCCAGCTGAGCGACAAGCCCGACATCTACGTAGAGCAGAAGACGGTGGACGCCAGCGGCAACAGCGAGGAGGCCAGGTTCGCCATCAAGGAGAAGTACGTCAAGGCCTTCCTGGACGGCGAGTACGCCATGGACAAGTCGGTGCAGAAGATGCAGCGGCAGTCGCTCCCGGCCGAGGAGATCGCGGCCTTCCAGAAGACGGTGCACGGCATCCAGGAGCTGATCGGGCGGGAGGGGCTGTCGCCGGTGCTGCGGGCCAACTACGTGCGCACGGCGTTCCAGAGCCCGGCCGACGGCCGGGTGCGGATCCTGATCGACACCGATCTGGCCTTCATCCGCGAGGACGCGCTGGACGCGGACCGGCCGTGCCGCGACCCCGGGGACTGGCACCGCGCCGACGTCGACAGCGGCAACATGTCGTACCCGTTCGGCCACCTCAGCCGCGCCGACGTGTCGCGCTTCCCGTACGCCGTGCTGGAGCTCAAGCTGAGGGAGGACCCGTCGCGGCCGCGGCACCACAGCCGCCCGTCGTGGGTGGAGGACCTCATGTCGTCGCACCTGGTGCACCCGGTGCCCCGGTTCTCCAAGCTGGTGCACGGCGTGGCCTCCCTGTTCGAGGACTACGTCAACGACCTGCCGTTCTGGCTCAGCGACCTCGAGACGGACATCCGCAAGGACCCCCAGGAGGCCTTCGAGGCCGAGGAGAGGCGCCGGTCCCAGCGGGCGGACGACGTCATGGCCGTCGGCAGCCTCATCGGCGCCGGCGGCCGGTCCGCCGCCTCGTACCGGGCCTCCAAGAGCTCCCCCGTCGCCCGCTCGTACCTGGAGGACCGCATGGCGGCCGACGCGCGCAGCCAGCAGCGGCAGCAGCAGCAGTCGGCCGCCGTGGCAGCCGCCGAGGCCAGGACCACGCCGGAGGAGGGAGGTGAGGATGCTGCTGCTGCTGCTGCTCCTGCGGCCGCTGCCGGCACCGCCCCCGCAGGCTCGGCCGACCGCGGATACGGCACCCTGTCGTCGGTGATGCCCAGCTTCTCCCTGTCCAGGTACGCCGTCTTCAGGCGGAGCCAGCAGGAGCAGCAGAGGTCCGGGCTGCCGGAGGGTGTGGTCGAGCCGGCCGAGTGGATCAAGAACGCGGGCGAGCTCAAGATCGAGCCCAAGGTGTGGCTGGCCAACGAGCGGACCTTTCTCAAGTGGCAGCACATCTGCATCCTGCAGGGCAGCCTGGCCCTCGCGCTCTACTCCGCGGCCGGGGAGGGCACGGTCGCCGAGGCCATGGCGATCGTGTACACGGTCCTGGCGGCCTTTTCCGGCCTCTGGGGCTACCACATGCTCCGCGCGAGGAGGGCGATGATTGTGGAGAGGAGCGGAAAGGACTTTGACAACATGCTGGGTCCGGTGGTGCTCAGTCTCGGCCTCATGGCTGCGCTCGTCTTCAACTTTGTCTTTCAGGTATCTCTTCTCTCTCTCTCTCTCTCTCTGGTTTTCTGGTTTTTTTCTTTAAAAAAAAATCTTAACCCCCCCCAAGAAAAAAAAAACATGAGGCTGACAGAAGACAATAGTACAAAGCTGCTGCTCAGAGGTGGAGAGATGGTCACGATGATGTCAATCAGACTGTGATTCTCGATGAACTCAAGACGTGATTTCGCTGCCGGCCTTCTCTTTCTCTTCCTCTCATCCCTCTTGCTGTCCTTGCTGCTGTCTGTGTACCGGTAGGAGTCATGCTGGCGTATCTTGGTCTGCGCATCATCGTATTTTTTTTTCTTCCTCCTTCTTTCCCGGTTTAGCTATTCACGATGAAAAAAAAATTGAAAAAAAAAATTGAAAATTTTTTCTAGAGGAAAAATATAAGAAAAGAGACAGATAGGAATGATATGCTATCAAAAAAAAAAAACCCAAAAAAAAAAAAAACAGGGAATAACGTAAAACGGTGTAAAAGCAGGTGAAAAGTGAGCCGAAGTTGCTTGCATGTATGATGCAGTAATGAATACATGACATTATTACTTGTACAAGAGACGACTCGTCGCTTCTTGATTCTGCATATTAATATAGCATGATGCGGCCTGAAAGAAGGTTGTGAAAAGGGGGGAGAAGAGAGAGAGAGACAAAACAAAAGAAACAAAAAATAATAAGAACAACGACGACGACGACAATTCAATCAGGACGACTTTAAAAAGGGGACTTTGACGGGTGCGATGCCTATCATGATATATAGAGCGTGTAAGCCAGTGTAATGTACGGATTGACCACCGTCCCTCGTAGTACCGTCAAGTCTGCTGATTAACTACTGATCAATACATCGTAAAATAGTGATAAATTAGTGATGAATTAGTGATAAATTAGTGATAGAATAGGGATAAATTAGTGATAGAATAGGGATAAAATAGGGATGGAATAGTGATAAATAGAAGAGGCTTCCGCATCAGGCGGCTGAGTGCATGATAATGGAACCCCCCCCCAACCCCCCCCCGCCCCCGCCTCATCATCAGCGCAGAGCACCAGCTTGGCAACAGGCACCTGCTGTCTCTCTGCTGCGTGTCTTTTCCGGTACAGCAGTTACGAGTATTCATCATTACGGGTGTTCATCATTGCGAGTGTTCATTATTACGGGTACGATACAGGTGAGGTCCAGGTACAGGTCCAGGTACAGGTCCAGGTACAGGTACAGGTACAGGTACAGGTACAGGTCCAGGTCGAGGTCCAGGTCCCGACTTTAGGTCCCCACTAACCAACCACCAAGGGTCCATCTGCATCTGCACCGCCCTTGCACCTTTTTTTCCCCATTCTTCCTCCTCTTCCTCGCTCTCTCCCTCCCTCTCTCTCACTCTATCCCTCTCACTCTCTCCCTCTCTCCCTCTCTCTCGCTCTCCCATCTCCCACAATTGATTGTTTCCTACCCATCATCTATTCTAGTTCCTGACCGACGACGTCTTTCCTCCTCCTCCTCCTCCTCCTTCCGTGTACCTGTACAACGCTACTGCTACTGCTACTCTATCCAGCTTGCTGTGAGGGTCACGTCACGAAGCTTCCTGGAGCATCAGCAACAGCAGCAGAGAGAAGAAGGAGAAGAAGAGGAAGAAGAAGGACGCCAAAAGACGGAGAAGAGTGAGAGAGTGGCAGAGAAGAGGAACAGAGAGAAGGAAAGGAAGAAAGGGAAACAGACCGCCCACGAACATGTCACGCCTTTGAAGCAATGGGCCTCACACAATCAACTTTTCTCCCTCTTGTTTTCATGCGTGCGATAGCGAATCCGCGTCGCGTCTGCTGCTTCTGATCCAGACGCCCTTCCATCCTCCGCCCCACCGCGTCACTCGCGTCTGCCCGTCATGGATCAGCAGACGGACGCCGACCACAGCTCCCCTCCTAGCCCCAAAAAGAGCTTCTGGGCAGTTTTGCTGCGCAGGAAGAGCCGGGCCGATGCCAAGGAGCCGGTGACGCTCAGGAAAAAGGTGAGCGGTAGGATGCACGTGGGATCCACCTCGGCTTTCGCCTCCTTCCCCCTCTCCCCTCCTTTTCCCCTCTCTCTACCCGTACGGAGCGAACCCGAGGTCTGACACCGGACACGTTATCCTGCATAGGACGTCAGAGAGTCGCTGCACCGCCACAACCACCACGACCACCACCCAGAAACACCACCGAGAAGAGGGGGAGCGAGAGTCAGCAGTGGCGAGGTGCGACGTGAGAGGGATCCCCGGAGGAGGGTGCCGACGACGGCACCCGAGACCATGACAGCACCAGACACGACCGCCCCAGACAGAGACAGAGACAGGGACAGGGACAGGGACAGGGGTAACGACCGAGGACGGCACCGACGGCAGAAGCAAGATGCCGAATGGGGATCGGAGCCGGAGCGGCCTAGGGCGACGCCGGGACGATCATCCGGCAAGGAGAAGGCTACAGCTGCCGATGCCGACGCCGACGCCGACGCAGATGGGGATGCGGGCGCGAGGGACGGACGGCATGCCGTCCCGTCTCTGGCCCCGCTCACGTCGTGGCCGCCAAAGGGTCTAGGGCCGCGCGACCAGCTGACGCCCCGCTCGGCCGCCGCCTGGATCACCCGGGGCGCGACCGTGCACACCGGCCACCGACGGGCCGTCCCTCACATGCCGGACCGGTACTACGCCCTCTACGTGACGACGCGACGAAGACGGAGCAGCCACGGCCACGACGACGGCGAAGAGGGTGACTCGGTCGACGCGCACGATGCCATGACGCAGCTCATGAGCATGACGCTGCGCACCAGAGAGCAGCAGCAGCAGCAGCAGCAGCAGCGGGATCGTGACCGAGACCGAGACCACCACAGGACGGCCACGGCCACGGCCACGGCCACGGCCCGATACCCGTGGGAGACGCTGGAGCAGCCCAGCTACGCCTTCTACTACGGCCGGCTAGGCGGCACCGTGACCTTGAACCAGTGGGCGTCCGGCACGAGCGTCCTGCCGGCCACGGTGGCCCTGCGCGACTCGGGCGTCTCCCCGCGGCCCATGGACCTCTCCAGCATCATGGAGCGCCTGCGCGAGCTCCGCGCCGGCCTGGAGGACGACGACCCGGACCTGCTCTACAAGATACTGTACCGGCGCATCCTGCGCGACCCGGACCGCATCCTCAGCCCCCACCGCACCCTGGACAGGCAGATGACGGACCTGATCCTCGTGCTCTCCCGGCCCGAGTGGATCGACCTGACCAACCCGAGGAACCAGGTGGTGACGCGCTTCATCTTCGACTGCGGCACTCCGGATCCGAACGACGACCAGTCGACCGTCGTGACGGCGACGACGACCGAGCCGAGTCCGCGCGAGAGCGCCTCCGCCCTGGCGGCCAGGCAGGAGCAGTACCGCCTGTTCTTCCACCAGCTGCTGCTCAGCCTGGAGCTGGAGCTGAGGATACAGAGCCGCCTGCACAAGGACTGGGCCAAGGATAAGCTCCTACAGCAGATACCGCCGTCTATCCAGTGGGATCTGGCGCTGGCGAGACGCTGGAGGCAGAATGTCAGGGTCGAGGCCTTTGGCAAGGATCCAGGTCAGGGTACGTCTTTCCTTCTTCTCTCTTCTCTTTTTCTCTTTTTTCTTCGTCTTCCTTTCCTTTCCTTTTCTCTTTTTTTTTTTTTTTTTGGTTGTCGTCGTTGCTGTCGTTGCTTCATCACACAGAGAGATGAGGCCTCTTTCTACACTTGCCGAAAGAGATGGAGGGGGGAGAAGGGGGAAAAAAAGAAGAAAAAAAAAAAGAAGAAAAGTTTCTGATCATTCGAGTGATAATAGTAAAGCTCCGTTACAAGCGGCAGAAGAGACAGGTCAAGATGCTCAGACGCTTCGCGAGGCTGATGAAGTGGCCCAACCTGCACGATACGCTGCACAGCCTCGAGCAGAGGGAGGAGGACGGAAGCCTGGACACGATCAGCTCGGACGCCTTCGCCTTCTTCAGCGGACTGGTGGTGCCCGGCCCGACCTTCCCGTTCCTCATCATGAACTCGCTCATCGACCTGGACCCGGACACGGCGACGGACGAGCTGGCCCTGCTGTCGCACATGCACCCCCACTGCGGCTTCCAGTACCGGTCCAGCTACACGTACTGGACGGCGAGCTGCATCGTAGGCAAGGTGCTGGCGCCGACGTGCCGCGCCGTGGCCGGGTGGGTGGGGCCGGCACGGCCGACGACGGACCTGGCGCGGTCGCAGATCGCGCGCGTGCGCACGCGGCGGCCCGTCCAGACCCTGCTGCCCGAGGACGTCGAGTCGATGGCCGAGAGGTCGGACCCGCTGGGACCCGAGGCGGAACGGTACCCGGTGTCGGACTACTCCATCCTGGACGCGGACGAGTACGGCGGCGGCAACGCCACGGCCGGCAAGAACGGTGCGGCCTCCCTGGGGAGCCACTACGACGACGGCACGGTGCGCATCGAGATGCTCGGCCTGCGCGCCGCCGCCACGGCCGTAGGGTCGGGGGAGCGCATGAACGGGCCGCGCGTGTTCGACGCCACCCTCCAGGTGGCCGTCGAGGGCGTCTCGTGGCCGCTGAGACTGATGTACGACGTGTCCTTCGTCAGCGCCTGGCCCTGCTCCGGCGGGCCCCACCCCTTATTCTTCGACTACGTGCATACCCGCGTCAGGGTGCAGGACATCATGGACGTGCGCGACTGGGGGAGGCTGTACACCCCTAGGAAGCAGCAGAAGAAGAGGAGGAGGAGGAGCGACGACAGCGTAGACGATGGCCACGACGACGACGATGATGATGATGGCCGCGACGACGACGACGACGACGACGACGACGACGACGACGACGACGAGAGGGTCCTCGTCGTCCAGGCCTTTGGGGCTTGCGATAACGAGGTGCTTGCCAGGGCGTGGTGTGCTCACTGGGGGTTGAGTGCTGTCGTTGCTGATGTGAGGAAGACTTGGTAAGGGTTTTTTTTTTCTTCTTTCTTCTTCTTTCCTTCCTTTCTTTCTCTCCCTCCCTCTCTCTCCCTCCCTCTCTCTTTTTTTTTGTCTGTTCTCGACATTCCTTTACTGACTGTCTATATAGTACGGCATGTGCCATCAGAGAAGCATACGCTGCTACGATCATGGTGGTGATTCTAGTCGAAGGGCAGGAATACGATGATTACGAATAATGATGATTTTTTTTCCCCTCTCCCCTCCATCATCTCTTCTTCTCGCTCTTCTTTGCGTGTTATTGACGTCATCCCCATTAGCCATGAATTCGGCATATGATCGGAAGTTTAAGAAGAGGGGTGGGGGGGAAAGTCGAAACGGTGGGATGGTGGTTGTTCAATCAGGTCGGTAGAAGATATACCAGGAGTTTATTTTTTCTTCTCTTTATTCTTTTCTCTTCTCTCTATGCTTATGTTTGTTTGCTTTTCTTGGGCTTCTCTCTTATTCTCCTTCATTTCTCCATGATTCATTGTACAAGATTGTCTATCAGATATGGGCAAGAGATGAAAAAAATTATAAAAAAAATTTAAAAAGTTAAAAAAAAGTTAAATATATATACATATATATATATAATATATTCGAATGCTGCCTGGTGTTGCCTGACCTTGACCTGTTATTGAACTCACCTTCTGATACGGTAAGGATCTATTAGATCTAAAAGCTGACAGACGACAACCAATCCCAACCGACCCTCTTCCCCCCTCTTCCCTCTCTCCCCCCCACCATCGCAACTTACACGGACGGTAGAGCTTCTTAGCTGGAATCACCGTCTTCGGGACGTTTGACCGTTGCTGCCCCGCCCCTCTTCATGTCTCGTTTGTTTTTTGTCTTTTTTTGCACACACATTATCCGACACTTCCGTACGCCCATCGGACGATTTCATCCCTTCTTCTCACTTCATCCTCCTTCCTTCTCCCCCTTCCTCTCTTCATTCCAGATTCTGTTCGGAATCTTGACCTGGGTCATCGCAACCCAACGGCCGCTCGTGCTCACACATCGTTACATCACGCATCGCGCATCGAAATCACCATTGAATGTCCCAGAGTTTGACCATCATGGTTCATCATGATGACCACCCTTCTTCCTCTCTGGTATAGTCCTTGCCCTCTCCCTCCCCCTCCCCTCTCTGCTCCTCTCTGCTCCTCCCCCCCCCCCTCTCCCTGCAATTCACCCCCCCCCCCCCCCTCTCTCTCTCTCTCTGCGGGGCATCATAACAGCCAGCTGCGAGCTGCGAGTTGCGAGTTGCGAGTTGCATGTTGCGGCTAGCTAACACGAATCCTCGCTCTCTTCTTCTCCGTCCTTTCCAAAATATCAGTTCGACAAGGATACCTACTACATTGGCGTCGATGTAGGCACCGGGTCGGCGAGGGCGTGCATCGTAGACGAGACGGGGAATATCAAAGCCCTTGCTTCGGCCGATATCAAGCTATGGCAGCCTCAGCCTGGATACTATGTATGCTCTTCCTCCTGCCATCCCCTTCTCCTGCCATCCCCTTCTCTCTGCTGAGCTCCCTTTTCCTTTCTCCCCCTCTTCCTTCCTTCTCATGAAAGCACAGGAGCAATCAACGACCGACATATGGAACTGCATCTGCGACTGCGTCCGACGCGTCCTCGAGGAGTCGGCCGTCGACCCCGGCAAGGTCAGGGGCGTGGGCTTCGACGCAACCTGCTCGCTGGCCGTCTTCTCCACCGACTCGGACGAGCCGGTGCCCGTGACGGCCTCCGACTCCTTCTCCAACAGCGACGCCCAGGATCGCAACGTCATACTCTGGCTCGACCACCGCGCCGGCCGCGAGACGGACGACATCAACGCCACGCGCCACAGGCTCCTCAGGTACGTCGGCGGGTCCATGAGCATCGAGATGGAGATGCCCAAGATCCTGTGGCTCAGGAACAACATGCCGCCCGAGCTCTTTGCACGCTGCAAGTTCTACGACCTCGTCGACGCCCTCACCCACCTCGCCACCGGGGGGGAGGCCCGCAGCTGCTGCAGCGCCGTGTGCAAGCAGGGATACGTGCCCGTCGAGGAGGACGGCCACGACGCCGGCTGGCAGGGGGACTTTTTCGACGCCATCGGGCTGCAGGACTTGGCCGAGGATGATTTTCACCGCTTGGGTGGCGTTGATATGAAGGTACCCC